GGGGGGGGGGGGAAGCGGGCTCTTGCGCCTTCCTGTAATGGGGCTAACCCGTAAACGGTTTGGATGCTCTCTGGCCCATAAATGGAATGCCACGGTAGTGGAGCGTATCAGGAGTTGGCATCCAAGCTCTCGCGCATTTTGCCCCTCACGTACACTAAATCGCAGTGTCTGTCCTAACACGTGTGGGAAGAATGTGGAATTATCGTGTTGTGGAATGAGGCAACCCCGAGATTCCGTTTGAGCTGTGATAGTGAACTGAGAGGAAAAAAAATTATCCAATATCACGAAAATAATTTGTTGAGCCGAGGGAGTAGCACATGTGTTGGATTAATTCGAAGGGCTGCAACCAGTGAAATACAATAAATCTCTCCAAGTCCGTTCGAGTAAACCATCTATTTTTTTTTAGAAATCACACAGTTGAAAATTTTGGCGGAATTCTCCGGGTCAAGAGCTTGAATTTTATTTGAGGGGGAAAAAGTCAATGAAATTTCCCTGAATTCAGAATTTCCCTCAATTCCCCTGAATTTTCAGGCAATTCGTTTAAAATTCTAGAAAATCCAGGAATTTTTAAAGTAATTTCCTGAAAATTCGGAGGAATCTGGAATTTATAGAGACATTTCTGTGAATTTTCAAGATTTTTCATTAATTTCCCCGGAATAATTCAACTGAAATTGACAGTTCTCACGGATTTCTCCATGAAATTATGAATTTTCAATAAAAAAAATTCCAGAATTCAAGCAATTCCCAGAATTTTAAAAGAATAAAAAAAATGAATTAAATTAAATGAAATAAATTGATAAAAAAATTAATTTGATCAATTAATGAATGAATTAAATTTAATTAATTAAATTAATTTTTTCTAATTTTTTTAAGATCTCTGAAAATCCAGAGAAACCTGAAATTCAAATAAAATTATGAATATCCAATGGCAAAATTCCTTTAAATTTCAGCGCAAAATTTCCCCCATTGCATTAGCCGAACCACCAAAATTATCCCCCAGAGATTAATAAAAATCCGTTAAATGTCTCCCAGCTGTAACATTATTCCGCATTATCGCATGGGTGGGGTTTTCTCTTCTCGCCTCGTCCTCGGTTTTACTTTCTAAGTCCGCCTCCTGCCCCCCCCCTCCCCCCATTAAAAGAATCCCCAAGTCTGATCCTTGCGTTGAGGACGAAAAATCCGTCTTTTTCCGGAGGACTTGTCCCTCTCCTCTCACTTACGCCTTCACAGATCGAGTTCTGCGGGCTCGTTGCACTGTATCTCGACATTTCTAAGTGTAGACAGTACCCCGTTTTCCTTTTTTTTATTCATCTCATTTTTACGGATTATTTTTTTCCCTCTTTTTTTTTTTCTTTCAACTTTTGCAGCTCCAAGTTACCGGTTGAACGTGTGTGAGCGGAGAGACCACGCCAGGGTGGGGCTCGCAACTCGGCGTTTTCAGTTTCACTTTCTAAGTTACCTCGCCCTCCACCCCACACCGCGTACTCCCCTGCCCTCTTCGCTTCATCTACGTCGTGATCCTCGGGACGTTTTTATACGTTTGCCTATTTTACAGTGTCAGTGTGTTGGGCTTGGGTTGCACTGGGAGGATGTATAGGTGCCTCAGTCGAGGCGAGCCACCCCGCCCTGCAGATGCCATGCACCGGGGATTAACGGATGCATTGGAGAGACTGGTTGCAAAGTTGTTGGCGATGAAAAATTGAAGTTCCCATTCGTTGAGAATTCATTAGTTACAGTTATTTTATCATGAAATTGTAAAAATTCTCCGACTTCTGGGGTTGATAAAATGGGAAATTTTTGTGAGTGAGAGGAGAAATGTTATTTTATTTTTATTTTTATTTTATTTTATTTTTATTTTATTTTTATTTTATTTTTATTTTATTTTTATTTTATTTTTATTTTATTTTTATTCTATTTTTATTTTATTTTTATTTTATTTTATTTATTTTTTCATTTCAGATCATTTTAATTTTAAAATTTAAATGACTCATGTAACTACATAAAACCCGCCCCCCAAATATTTAAAATTCCCCAGGAAAATCTAAATATTGCAAAACAAAACATTACGCGCATGCCTCTTGTGGTTAACATTCATAATAACCCCGGCGATTCCCCATTAAGTCCCACTAATTACACAAAAATTCGTAATTCCACGATAAAGATGTTTTGTTAGTCTGCGCGATTACCCGTTTCCACTGTCTGACTGGAGGGTATAAATCTACTGGTTAATTGGATCGATGTTTTTCCCTCTCGGCGGTGGCTGTCAGTGTGCCCAGTGAAAAAGGGGAGAAGGTGACAATTGAAACTCCACCGGTGGATTTATTTGACCGTGTACAACATACATATGAGCCTGCCCTTTTGCGATTGTGTGGAAGCGTGAAAGTACTTGGTGTTTTTGGTAACTAGTCGTACAATATCGTTTCCCTCGATTCACTCGACTTTCATAATCGGGGATATTTCAATGGGTTCAGGAATAAAATTGTCCGTTGCGCTCCCGTGGGTTTGAAAACGAGTGGGAAATTGCTTTCGTCACAACGTAGGCAATATTTTTTTGATAATAAATTAATAATTGGGTTTTGAATGGAATTTTTATGACGATGTGATTTTAATTGAATTCAATTATGCATTGAATTTAATGTTGCCTGATCGTTAGCAGCCAACATTGACCGCCAACATTAACCGTCAATATTGTTCCAACATTGACCGCCAACATTAACCGCCAGCATGACTCCAGCATTGGCCGTCTACATAGCTCCAACATTGGCGTTCAATGTTGACGGCCAATGTTGGTAGCCAACATTCACCGCCACCATTGCCCCAACATTAACCGCCAACATTACCCCTACGAACATTTTCAACTTTTCCCTGAATATCGATTTGAAATGACGAAAAATAAGAGAACACGCAGGAAGCATGAAAAAATATGAAAGCGAAAAGTTCGGATCAAGCAGCAGGCATATCATTTGATCAATGACTTGATACTTGGCTTCCATTGGGCATGCCGAGGTCGCCCAGCATGACGCCCAGTCGCGTGACTCTATCCATGGTGAATTATTCCTCCGGCCCGGGTCTTCGAATTTAGGGCTATCGTCGATGCGTGACAAGTCGGTCAATCAAGGGAGCATTCCTTACGGCTTTATTTGGTTGTCTGTCCTTTTTCAATGGCACGAGGCACCGCAGGAGCTGATCTACAGCTTCCGGAAATTAGAGCACGGTTGAATATTTTCGACTGAATATTTCTGATAATTCAGGACAGTTTCACTAGAATTCTTGACTTTGATGAGATAATCAATGGTAATTGTTAATATTGGTTCAATTATTCCATGAAAATTCACGTAAAAAGGGAAGTAAAATTCTCGTCCGTCTGATTTAGGTCGATAGAAAAGGGAATAAATGTGCAAAAATTTTGCTGATGGCCGGGAGAAATGGAAACCCATGTGCATGCATTCGTTTAAACTCCGGAAATGACCGACTTAATCATAAAAAATCCAGGAAGATCTCGCGAGATCCACCACAACGAATAAATCAACATCGATAGCGTCCGTTTTCGCGTAATGGCTAGCAGAAATTAGGGATCATTAAGTCGAATTTCAATTTCCGTCGGGGCGTAGGTGAAGACGTGCGATCGACTAGGGAAACGAGTATGACTTTCACGGTTACTCGAATCAATGATTTCTACTTAATTCCGCAAGGCTAAATGCTGAATTGCACTGTAAAAACGAGTGTCTTCAAGGCGTCTTGAAAGTTGGATAGACAAGACATTTTCATAATGTCCTGAAATACAAGTCACCAAGTTTAAGACATTTTTTCAGTCTCAATTCAAGACACTCGAGGACTATTCAGACACTAGTCATTTATGACGGCGGCACTATGACAAGACATTAACCGCATTAAGACATGGAATCATAAGACGTTTTTGGTGACTTATCCATTTTCTTCCGATTTATTGAAGTTCTGAATTTATCGGGAGGGTCGGAAGGATGATGACGATGGGAGATGTCAAATGAATTCAAACATAGTATCATTGCAGGATCAGAAGGACGTGAAAACCTTAAATATCATTCTAAGGAAAAATACTTTTCGTCAGTATTTTTCATCACAAAAATTATTTTCCCCTTATTTTCCTAACTCGCTTCAAATTCTGCTTCATGACCGCTATTTTTAACGCAACCAGAATCATCAGTGAAAAAATGATTGACTCTTTTCGTGGAACATTGTCGACCGTTGAAAAAAAATGAATGAAGTGTTTAGAAAAAAACATGAGCCATTATAAATTTAACGCAATTACTTACGTTGAATCAGGAGTCTCGTTCCAACTTCCGTCATTTCCGGACGCATTCCCAATCATCTTTTGCGTGGAATTCAGCGTCACTTTGTTCCACGCGATTCCTCGACTTTGGCCCCGGACTCGAGCCACCGATCCACCTGAAACATGCGCCAAGGGAGTTGAGAGATAAAAAAAATGCGAGTGAATAGGTGAGGTCGGACCGTCGGACTCGCCTTAAATGCCCAGTGGACAACGAATACCCGTCAATGTCGTCATGACACCTGGTCTACTGTCATGCATAACACCATATATAAAAAAAATCGTTTCCGGTGTTGGGGGGCAATTTGCCTGTCTATTTTGCTGACACATTTGTCGACATTATTCAATGCTTAACCATTCGTCTTGCAAGGGGACAATTTGCTGGACTTGATATTATGGGATATAAGTTTGAGTTTAGGCATGAAGTGACCTAAAATCCGGTGCACTTATTGGAATTTTTTTCATGTGAAATTCGCATCAAAATTTGATTTTTTTTTTCGATTAAAAAAATTTTTTTAATGGTAATTTAACATTTACAGAATTTTATTATTGAAATTTGGTAATCTCGTTGTTATAGTTTATGTCTGTTTCATTTCAACCCTGGCTGTTTGCTGTTGGGTCTCTATGAAATACAAATGAAAATAAAAATGGAAATGAAAATGAAAATTTGAAGATTGAAATTTAAAAAATTCGAATATCTCGGAATCCAGAAGAGATAGAAAAATTTTTGTAATTACCTTTTTTGTAGAGCGAATTGAGGGTTGCAAAAAAGGTCATGAGAAAAATTTTGCTATCCCCCTTAGATTCCGAGATATTCGTCAAAAACTGACCAAAAGTCAAAATCGACTTGACCCGGTTTACCGCTTCGCTACGGAATTTTTTCCCTGGATTTGGCTGACTATAAACGCTACTGCCGGCCGTTTCCACTTGCGCAGAGAACAAATGCTCTAGTTTTCAGGGGAATATCCCGAATTTCTCGGACACAAGTATTTTTGCCTCTAATTTTCAGTGATGCGACTGTAAAAATCAGTCAAAATATTATGATTTTTAAAAACTTCCGCCCAAAATTTCAGATTTCCGTGAAATTTACTATTTTTTAAAATTTTGTAACCCTAAATTTCGGTGAAAAAATTTTTTATTTTCAATTAAACGCGAAAAATGGAAAGTAAAAAAATTTGTTGAACTAAAAATTCAATGAAATTCCAAATTAAATTATTAAAAATTGGGAATTTCATTGAATTTTTAGTAAAAAAGTGAACCGGAAGTGTAAAAATCCCACGAAAATGCCCATTAACCCCAGCGCCAGTTACTTTTACCCCTCGAATCCCCCAAACCCCGCCCACTAAATCATTAATTCACCTAAAAATGCACCTCCTCCTGTTTAACGAGCGTAACTAACCACAATTTAAGCGCTCCAGTGTGCGGAAGTCCCAGCGAAATTGACAGTCCCATGATCCTTTCTCCAACCAAAAATCCTCCCAGCCAAACGAGTTACATTTTTCAACACTCGTTATCGGTCAAATTGCGCAATTCCCACCTGAATCATGCATTCTAATTTTTTTTATTCATTCTCCCTCGGTCCGTTTATTTCGAATCCCATTCGGAATATCAGGTGTAGCAGACCTCGGTATTTCAACTCTCTATATGACTCGTGTCTCTAACTTGTTTCGATAACGTAAAAATTTATGATCTACTATTACAACTTCAACGAGTAATATCGGGCATTCATAATGATACAAACGCATGCTTGAGGGTACTGAGAGACATTGAGTCAATGAAATTAATTTTTTCATTCAAATAAAGAATTGTTACATGGTTGTGAATTCGATCTCTTCATTATTTAAATAATTATTTTATTTTTAACTCATAAAGTCCGTTTGGATCGAGCAAACATTCATTTATGTTTGAAAAATTATCAATTTCATATTTCTTTGCAATAATTTTATATTTTCAACTAAAAATCATTAAACGATTAATTATGTATATAATTAATAATTTTTTCATAATTTTAAATAATTTTAATTTCATAAAAATTGAATTTATAAAATTTTTTAAATTGAAAAAATTTTTTTTTTCAATTTTTAAATTTATAAATTAAAAAAATTAAAAAACAGATTCTATTTTGAAAAATTTTACGACTGAACATTTCCAAATATTGTGCTCTACACGAGTGACTTGGGCCCTTTTTCTTTTCTGTCACTAGTGTTGTGACATTGAAATGTCATCTCCAGCATTGAAAAACAAGACATTCGAATTCGGGTATGGACTTTTCCCACGTCCTGAAATATTTTGGTTATTGAATTCATTAATAACATTTCTTCGGCTTCATTCGTCGATGAGCAATCGATGGAACAGCGGATGGGCGAGTTTTTAGGTGAAACGTCACGTGAAATACCGTAATAGGGCATGTCGCTTTGGGTATGAGTAGAACATGCGAGTGATTAATGAAAGACAGGTATCAGAAATATAATTGATGGTGGGACGCGATGAAATGAAGCTCCTGTAATCTAAGCGCACGGATTGAGAATATTCATTTCTTCGTTCATCATTTTCAAAATTTGGAGATTTTGATCCTCGATTACCAAATATTTTGCAATAAGAATATTATTTTTGCTACTAGTGTTATTTTAGTTCAATTATTCCCTGAAATTCAATAGAAATCCGATGAATTCAGCTAACACTATCCTAACATTAACCGCCAACATTAGCAGACGACATTGTCTTGACATTAACCGCCAACATTGCCCAGACATTGGCAACCAGCATCACCCTCCCAATGACAGCCGATATCACCCCAACATTATCCGCCAACATTGTCTCAACATTAACCGTCAACATTACCCCAACATTGACCGCCAGCATTGCCCGGACGCTGAATTCGATCAATTCCATCAATTATTTCGTCATTCATCGTCGAAAAACGTCTAAAAATAGTATATTCGAACTCCTGAGGCCAAAATTTCGAGGTTGCCCAATACAATCCTTCCATCCGGAAGCAAAAAATCCACCGCCTAAAAAAATAAACTATCCAAAAACCGCTGAATCCCCCCGATTAAACGGCACCGAAAGAAAAAGGATCGCTAACCAGCAGTTCAAAATTACGAAAGACCCGGTGGACGCACATCCACTCCCGACAGAGCATTGCGCTCTTATCGTTTGCTGGTGTAGGTGTTATCGCGTCAGGGCGTGTCGCCAGTCGCAGAAAGGCGCTCAACAGGGGAGAGTTAGTGGATGTGGAGGAGAGAGCTAGATGCCGGGCTACGACCGGCTGCCGCAACGTGACTCCGTCAGCCTCCGCACGAGGCGATCCGGATCCGCGCGCAGACCGTTCCGTTCCCGTATCTCCATCTCACTTATTTTGCTTTCGCATTTGTACACACCAGCTGCTTACGTCCATAACTCCCTCCCCCCGTCCGCCACCGCCCCCCTCCCCTGCCCCCGCAGTCGTTATATTTCAGGTGTTTTTATTTTCTTTGTTTTTATTTCTCTCAACTTCGATGGACTTTTGCCGATGTTTATTTTTCCTCTGCTCACGGCACCGTGAAATTCTGGCGGGACAAACCGCACGGGTTATCGGGAATAAACTCTCCTCTCCCCCCCCCCCCCCCCCCCCCCCCCCCCCCCCCCCCCCCCCCCCCCCCCCCCCCCCCCCCCCCCCCCCCCCCCCCCCC